AACAGCTAACATTGATCATTGATAGCTCAATTAAAGGTAATGTCACCACCAATAAATTGGATTAATTTGGACAGTCATGCTAAATGGAGTCGAGGAGTCGATTCCATCGACTCCAATAGTGGGAGTCGGGAGTCGACTCAGAAAAACCTGGAATCGAACACCCCTAGATATTCCTCATCAAGTTATAACACATAAAACCCAAAAGGCGCGTATGTTATAACTTTCATATGGTTTTTAAGCTTGTCATGTCATAAAACATGATCTGATCATGAAAAATAGCACATCATTATTTAAAGCAGATTCTCGTGAATGAAATGAGTCCAAAATCAAAATAATCCATTGCGTCTTTCGTGTGTAAATAATACCTAAACCCATGAATTTAATAAATCGTTTGGAAAGCTTTATTGAATACGTGGCAAGTAAAATGAAAAAGCCAGCATGTTTCTGTCTATTATAACTTTTTTATATAACTAGGTACTATTTTAAAGCTTAGAAATTCAGCTTTCGAATGCATCCAACCATTTTGATCAACTTTTAACGAGTGCCGAGTAGTCCCTCTAAACCGGAATGTACTGCTGGTGGGTGCCACCTAGCAAATAAAAAAAATATTTTTCAAAACCACTGCCTTGATCAACACAAAAAAAGGGTGTCATTTAAAAGCTTAAACTAGAGTCTGAACTTTACAATGCATGTGGCCACTTTGATGAACTCCTAAGCAGTGCAAAGTTATTTGCTGATAAATTAAAAAAATTATTAATAATTTATGAAATATGTTTTTTGTGCCATGTACTCTAATAAGTCAAAAACATTATACAGCTCAGAACGTCATGTGTCATATGTCCTTTGAAAGGTCTCACAGAGTAGAATACAACAAGCATAATTGTTTGGGGTTTTGACTAAACTTGAGCGAGGCATTACTTCTGTGAATGTTAGATCCTCTTACACAGACATTCCGGAAAATACACGGATAATGCGTCCCGTGATTTGGCCCAGGATTGTTTGATTTTGGTTCATTCACACATTTGGTAACATTCACACATTCAAAAAATAAAATCACTATTCGAGTTTTGCTTTCCTGGCCGTAAATGCAGGGAATCCATGATAAATCCTAAGCACGCAAACTAAAAGTCAGTTATAACTAAATGCAGTGGATGGTGCTGTGGAGCGTGTTAACAAGTTGATTGCATTTGATCACAGAATGTCCTGGTCTGCCTCGCAAAGTTTGTTATTACTTTGATCAAAATGATCTTACTAAATGATTACTAAATGATGAAACTTTTGATCAAATGAATCAATGAAATTGATTCAAATGATCAATGAGTTATCAATGTCCACCACCACAATGAGAAATCACATGAAATCCACGTGCTGTATTATATACCGACTAATAAATTACAGAACGTTTAGCAAACACGGAGGAATCAAATAAATAAATAAATAAATTAAAGAGAGCCTCCATAGCGTAATGTGAGGTAAACAGCAAAGATATGTTTTTCAAAAATGAAAACAAAAAGAAAAGTAAAACTAACGTGACAGTGCATGCATGTTTTTTCCGCACAAGAATACCAGCATGTTCACCTTCTCTGGTTTAAGAAGCGGTCTTTTACTTGACTTTACCTTGAAAACCATCCATCGTTTCCTCAATATGTGCGTCGTTTTTGCTGCGCGCACCTTCGCGCTCGTGCTGATGTGGCGAGAATACTCTCTAAGCGCTGTTTCGTTATGCTTTCATTTTTGTTTGCCGTTTGATGTTTCTCATATGCAACAGAAATTGCAGAGCTTATGAGTTGACCAACACGGTGGTCGCGCCATTGCGACCGCACAAAAAATTTAGTCGCACAGGCAGAAAAAATGGTCGCAATCTGGAGCCCTGCCACATCATCTGAAGCCATTCCATATCTTAATGTGAGGGACAGAATTTAGGTTTACAGAAACTCATCTTCCCTCCTCTGCAGCTGTCAGTCATTCTCCGCTCAGCATTCAAACAGCACGTCACATTCAGTTATGACAGTCAGCATAAAACTCTCTCTCCAAGATGATATATTCCCATTATAATACTTTAAATTTAAGGAAGATATTATCACAAACAGAAAGATTATTAGAAGCCTTTCTTTTTCTTATGATTTCTATCTTATTTTCATGAATGTATTTCAAGTTCAAATTCAAATTCAATTTATTTGTAGAGCACATATACAACAGCCACCAGGCTGACCAAAGTGCTTTCCAGAAGAGCAACAATTTTACCACATACACAGAGAACAAACCAGACAAAAATTTAAAAACGCACGTTTAAAAATGACCATATCACAGTAGTCAATACACTAAGGAAAACAAATAAGTTTTTAGCAAGGACTTAAAAACAGACAAAGAAGGGGCCATTCTAATCTCTAAAGGTAGGGTATTCCAGAGTCGTGGCCCTGCCACTGCAAATGCACGCTCCCCTCTACGCTTAAGCCTAACGTGAGGGACCACCAACAAGGCCTGGTCACAGGACCGTAGGCTTCTAGATGGAGTATAGAAGTAAAGAAGGTCAGATAGATAGACAGGAGCTTGGTTATGTAGGGATTTATATACAAAGAGGAGAATTTTAAAGTCTATTCTCTGACAAACCGGCAACCAGTATAGAGATCTAAGAATTGGAGTGATATGTTCATGTTTACGACACTTTAAAAGAAGTCTGTCCGCAGCATTTTGGACAAGCTGAAGACGCGCAATTTGACATTTAGATATACCGCAATATAAAGAACTGCAGTTATCTAGACGAGACGTAACGAACGCATGAATAGCCATTTCTAGAGTTTTTGGAGTGAGAAAGTTTTTAATTTTAAGCTGATAGAAACTGGACCCAATGACAGAAGAGATATGTTTATCAAATTTTAAATGCTGGTCGACTAGAATACCTAGGTTCCGCACCCGCGAGGATCTAAAAACGGATGAACTTTCTAACTCTTATAAACTGAGAGTTATCATTTGGACCGAAAACAATTACCTCGGTCTTGTCTTCATTTAGGAAGAGGAAATTTTGGGCTAGCCATGATTTAACCTCCTCTAAACATTTCAGAAGAGAAGTAATCGCAGTGGAATTGTTTTTCTTGATTGGTAGATAGATTTGAGTGTCATCTGCGTAGAAATGAAAAGACACACCATGTTTTCTTAGAATAGAGCCCAGAGGTAACATGTAAAGAGAAAATAGAGAGGGAGCTAAAATAAAGCCTTGTGGAAGGCCACAGGTCAGAGGAGCAGGGGAAGAGGAAAAATTACCCAACTTCACTAAAAACTTTCTGTCAGACAGGTATGACTGAAACCATTTCAGAACGTTTGCTTTTAGACCTACCCAAGACTCTGATCTAGATAATAGTGAGGAGTGGTCTATGGTATCAAAAGCAGCCGATAAATCTAAAAGAATAAGAACCACTGAGTCTCCGGAATCAGTAAAGAGGTAAATATAATTTAACACTCTTAAAAGGGTGGACTCAGTGCTGTGAGCAGACTTAAAACCAGATTGAAAAACCTCATAAATACAATTACTAGTCAGAAAACACAGAAGTTGATTCAGCACAATTTTCTTTAAATGAAAAAAAAATGTTAGGACAGAAGGATCCAGTGAAGGCTTCTTGAGCAGAGGAGTGACTGTAGTGCATTTTGTAAGAATACAAATAGTTAACAGAATAAACATGTTTAACAAATTTTTTCGTAGACTTTTACCAGCAGGAGAATGTCGAAATGTTAAAAAAACCTACAGTTTTAGAGCTATGATTCATATTTTTTGTGTATGTTGCTCAGAAAACAACACCTTCAGGGAGTCAAAAATGCCGTCAGGGCTTAAAGGGTTAATTGCGCAGCTCTAGACACTTGTTATTAATGTGTGTGTGGTTTTTTTAACTTTAAATGAGAAAGACGAAAAAGCAAGTAAGACCAATGGACAAATGCAAGGCACATGACTGCACACACCCACGTTTTCACTCCATCACACATGCTCCACAAAAACAAGCGTTTCAGACACAGCCAACTGACATAAAACTGTAAGCTCTCGCTGAAAAGGACAGATTTCTGAGCTGATCTCTCCTCATTTAATTCTAGGTTTGCCAGCACCAGCACCACAATTCTCAGGCAAGCTTTAGGGTGACAAATCATTGGATATGACTCTGCATCTGTTTGTTTTAACGTGAAGGTCTCGGAGTCTCCAACAAAAACTGAGAGTGATTCAGTAAATAACAGAAAAACATATTTATAATACAATTGAATCCACAGTATTTGCATAATGTTTACTAGCAAATAGCAGAAAAAATATCTCAGATCTGCACTTCTTAAAGAGTACAAGTCATCATCCTAAACAAGCATAGACAAGTCAAGATGTACTCTCCTATCTGACATTTTACTGAAATGTTTTACAGAGCCATGATGCATAAGCAAAACTGGCTATGTTTCAAATTGCAAACTACCATATTTACTATTTGTGCGATGTGCGGCATGTGTACTGTGCATATTTGCAAAAACTTATTTTAATTTGCAATAATTCTTCACAGTATGACCGTTTTTGTACTTCTGATCAAATAAATGCAGCATTGGTGAGCTAGAGATTTCTTTCAAAAACATACAGACCACAAACCTTTGAACGGTAGTGTAACTAGAGGACACAACCAAAGAGAAATAGTATATCCACACAATGCAATGAACTTGGCCTTCCATTTACAAACACACAAACAAAACACAAGGAATGCGTTTATTTGCACAATAAATATAACTATTGAACAAGTACTGTTCACCTCAGGAACACTTGAAATTTACAGAAAAACTGTATCCTTATTCTACTGTAAAGTAGTATAGACTACTACTACTAAAATAGAACAACACGAGGGTGAGTAATTAATGCCAGAATTTAAATTTTTGGGTGAACTAACCCTTGAAGCAGTCTGAATCAGAATTATATTCTACTCTGTATCAGGGACTTTCAGAGCACAAGTGGTTATGAGAGCATTTAGTCATCGTGAGTGAGTCACCTTTGAGCAGCGGAAGAGGTGTGAGTTCGATTGGTTTGCCCTGAGAGCGGAACTGTGAGGAACTCTGAGAACGTTTCTGCTTGGCTTTCCGGACAGACTTCCGGGAAAATCCGTCTACTTTATCCACTGATGGAGGCGTGGTGGCTGCGGAGGACATAGCCCTGGAAAAAAGAGCAAGGTGTATAAGAAAACACATGAACAAATGCTCCAAATGCATTTTGCAAAAAATAATATATACATATACATATATACACACACACACACACACACATATATATATATATATATAAAAAATATAAAGGGATTGCTATGACGGATTTCTGTCATTTCATAAAGACAGTCACTTGCTTCATTCCTGAATGATTCAGATGTTCGAACGAATCAATTGAATGAATGATTCAGTGATAAAAATCAGTGACTTGCCGCCACCTGCTGGCAGATTTAGTTTAATTTTTAGCGTATAATTTCAGTTATTTGAATCATATTTCTTTATTCAAAATGTTATATTTAAAACATTAATCTCCACAAGAATTTAGGAATTTAATTGCACTCATGCCACCTCCGAGCCTCATTAAACGTCTGAAAATGTACCTACAAGCCACTTTTGGTGTTCTTCTGTGCCACCTCTGTAGTACAAATTAATTTATTAATACTAATTTATGACTTATGACTAATTATGACAATTTTTTTTAATTGACATGAGAATGATGCCATTTCAAACGTAAAAAGAAAATAATCCTGTAAGTCGCTTTAAGGAGTCAAATGTCACCTCGTATTAAGAAGGTAAATTTTTGATCAGAATTTTTGATTATTGATCAGAAGGTGGTCCTACATTTTTTTAATTAGAAGGACAAGTGCTCCTAATTACAAGAAGAAAAAAACTGCTCTTAAACTGGGTGTGTGTCAGGTATGGCTGAGGAATGGGGTTTGGTCGAAGAAAAATTTTCAGTCAAAAGATTTTTTTTTGCTTTAACCCCTGCAATATAATAAGTAGAATAAGACAAATAAGTTAACAATCATATGAAATTAGCATTAATAAATTAATTTGTACTACAGAGGTGGCACAGAAGAACACAAAAGTGTTCTTCACAAAAGGTAAATTTTCAGATATTTAATGAGGCTCAAAGGTAGCATGAGTGCAATTAAATTAATAAATTCATATGTGGAGATTAATGTTTTAAATATGCAATTTTGAATACAGAAATATGATTTAAATAACTGAATAAAAATAGAAAATAAAGGGTTTATTTTTTGTTTTGACGTAAACAAGATCTCTGCATTAATGTTATCTTTTTCCGCAATATTTTTAATGAACAACGCAGCAGCACCGCATCTAGTGGGTTTAACTGAATAGGCAGACAAAAATATTATAATGCAGTGACACCACCTACATCGTCATCTCGTGCCCTGCTGATAAGGCTGTCTGACGCACACCTAAATTCGAAAAAAAATTTGAAAGCCCTAGTGTATATGTTCATTATGTCTGTGCATTAAGCGGTTTTGTAGGACCAGTATAAACAGCACTAAATCCAGACCTCTTTTAATGCCTTTGTGCAAGGAAGTTTGCAATTCAGAGCTGTAATAAAACAAAATTCAAACCACAAATGGCTATAGGAAGGAAATGTGGTGGTAAAATGAAAATCTAGGCAGAGATGTAAATAAAGGCACGAATGAACACTGCAATGAAAGATAAAACAGCATGGAAACAAATCTAGAGCCCGACCGATATATCGTTTTGCCGATATTATCGGCCAATATGAGCCTGTTGTGCTGTTGTGCCAATATGCCGCCGATATGAACGTTTTTTTTTTAGAGAACATATAATGCAGATAAAATGCTTGAAATGGTGTAATTACTTAGTTTGTCCAGCAGAGCACGCTCCATTGTTTGCTACTGGCGACCTGGATGAATTACTTTAAAGCTTAAGTCTATGGAAAACCATTAAAACTTTGAACGGCCATATCTCCGTAACGGCGCTGCGAATCCGCACCAAATTCGGGGGATCTCTTCAGCTCAAGGACCCTCGCGAACGCGAATCGAGTGTACGTCTCGAGGCCCTCTTTCGAATGAGACTACCCCCGCGTGGATAGCCCCTGGTTCAGGAGTTACGTGTGGTTAAATTCGCGGTCCACGCCGACCGATCTATCTGAGGGACACGTTGTAACTTGACCATATGACAGCTTAAAATGTTATCTGACCTAATGAAAAAATATATACAAGACAAACTAAAATATTTTGTTAATATATATATATATATATATATATATATATATA